ATCGACTACTGTAAAACCTTAAGCTGATACTTAAACTGAGAACCTTCCTGTTTAAGCCACCTTCTCGTGTGAGAATGAAAAATATAGCCGGCCTAGAGATAGAAAATTTGAATTTAAATATTGATGTGATGGATAACGGTTATATTTTTCATTTTAATGAGATAATAATGTAGATCAAACGGGGGCTTAATAGGTGAGAAAGTTCACTGACCATGATTATGCTTGTACATGCTATCAATTGTATTTTTGAGTTATTATATATTGTTGTTATAGTATATTTTTCATTTTAATGAGGTAAAAAGGTGGCCCAAACGGGGGCACAATGTGATATTGTATTGAACCAACTCATCTGAAACTGAAAGGCTTTGATTTATATTCGTTCAGAGTTATGGACATTCTGAAGATGGATGAACCATAAGTGACTTCTTTATCTCTTTAGAGTGTTTTTTTCCCTCAGAATTAAACATAAAATTGAGAGTGGATAATACTAGGTGAATAGTATAGAGACTAAATCATATTGATCTACCTTTATCAACCATAATACTATTTCCCTACTACTAACTGTATAGCAGGAAGTAAGACGGCTGCGGTGAGTGAGGATACTACTAATTTGCTGGATACGGTGAAAGTGTTCGACTTGAATGGAAATGGAATTCCCATTTCCGATTTATGGGAAAATAGGAAAGCTGTGGTTGCATTTGCCCGTCATTTTGGGTAATTATCTGTCAGCATCAAGGTTGATGCTTTTGTTGCTAATTAAAGCCTTTAGAAACATCTACCTTGAGTAAATTTTCATATGCCATCACTTTTACTGCTGCAGGTGTGTTCTATGTCGGAAAAGGGCGGATTATCTTGCAGCAGAGAAGGTAACTATTCTTATTCTGCAAAAAACCTGTGTTCTTACTGGTACAAAGTTCTTTTTAGGGGAAAAATGAAAAAGACTTCAATACCGGTGAAAAACTCATCTCTAAATGTCATGAAAATGACAAAATTTGCTTGTTTGATTCTGTTAATGTCACATTGTTATATTTTTAATCCACTACTATCCACAATTCTGTCAGCATTGTTAGCATTATTTGAAATAGCCGAGCTAGGATTTTCATGTAATTCAAGAACTCTAGAGGCACAATAAATGGGGAAATGTCCCCAATCCTTCCCCTGTGGTCTACTTTAAGTGGCAAACCATAGAAGAATTAATCATTAGTTATCTAAGTTCTAAACCGAGAAAGAAAAACCACATATATTTGCACCAGAAAAGAGTTCTTATAATGATTTGTTCTTTGCCTTGTCAAGTGTACAGATATAAACTTAGACAATGAACCATTAGAAGATCCTTGCAGCCAATCCACTAAATAGTAAGAAGACTCTCAACAACCAAGCCTGTACATCTGCCAATAATCTCTTTTGTTGCTTTAATCATTACACTTCTCCGTGACCGTTAATTTGTCTAGTAGAATAAAATTTTCACTCTAATTATATTGATTGTTACAGACATTCCATCATTGTCTTTTTTTGACAGGATAAGATGGATGCTGCTGGTGTGGCACTTGTGTTAATTGGACCTGGCAGTGTTGATCAGGTATGTAATGACGAAACTCCTGACTTTGGGTTGTAGGTGGATAATAGAACATGCAAACGGCTCTTGAGAATTGGTATGACATTAATTTATTTCTGGTTTCTCTGTCATCTAAAAAAAAAATTATTTACAGGTCAATCTTTTACTCTCTAACTATGGGGAGCTTTGTGCGTTCTCTCTGTGTGCAGTATATGAAGAAGAGTTCTGTCTTTCTTCAAACAATAAAATCGTGGATTGAGAAACCTCCTGTGTCATCTATAGAACTTTTTATGTCTTGCTTGTCCACCCTTTTTGACCATTTTTCTCTTTTCAGATAATGTATGTGGATGTTTATTTGGAGTTCTAACAAGTACTCTTTTGCTTTTTCCAGGCAAGAGCGTTCTTCAACCAAACAAAATTCAAAGGCAGTGAGTTTCTAAGAGATGTGAATTCTAAGATTTAATATTTTAGAACTCAAAAGTGACAACTTCAAATCACGTTCAATTATAGAGGGGTTTGAAATTATCGTACTCTCAAAACTATGGTCACAAGTCGGTCTCTTTTCCAGTCCTATTTTTGTTTCTGCTAAAGAATTAAACGTTGATTTCATCATCTTCACAGGGCTATTTTAACGCCAAATATAAGTCGAAGTATTGGTTTAGCAATGTGGAAATCTTATTATCAATACTGCTGGTCAACTGATATGTATCTGCAAGTTCTTGTTCTAGGGGATGGGATGTAATGGGGATTTAATACAATAACTTATGAAGGATTTTACCTCTAAGTATAAATACTGGCATAGGGTTTCATTTGTTTTTAGATAGAATTTGGGTGTCAATTGGGAGAGAGAGAGGCCTCTCGAATGCCTATCGAATCTGTAGTTCATTTCCATATAATTTAGCAAGTCCACTTTACGTTTCCTTTCTGTTCTTCAATTCAATACTTCACAGAAACAACACAAATAAAATTTAATCTCACTGTTCAACAGTAAATTACAGCAAAAACACAGCAATTGCTATGAGTCCTACCATAAACCTAGCTATCTTCCAGTGTGGAACTTTATATCACATACCATGCCAAAAGATATGGAGAAGAACAACAAGAAGAAAAGAACCAAAAACCTGTCCTAAATGCTAAAATGTTTTGGCAGGCACCCATGCTCTGGCCAAATTGGTGTAAGTCTATGCTTTAAATAAAAACAATAGATACCTATTGTACCTATATCTCATGTAGCAACATACATTATCTTAAAATTTTAAAAAAGAATGTATGTTAGCCTGCAGTGTTGTAGCTGAAATTTCATTTCACTCTTAAAAATATGTTGGTGCCAAAAGGAGCAGAAATTCATTATTCTTTTTTGTACTATTGGAATACAAATTTTAACTATATTCTTTCATAATGAGTTCCCCATAATATCTTTTACCATGCTGGTCTTCACAAAATGCTGGACTTGTGTTTTTGTTGTTTTCACTACATGTTTTCATGCTTCCATAATTAATGAGGTCCCCATAATTTTTAATTTCAAAGATATGTTCCATACTAATGAGATCCCCATAATACTGTTTACTAAGCTAGTCTTCACAAGATGGCTGGAGTTATGTTTTTGTTGTTTCATGTTTAATTTTAATGGTTTCCTGTGATTTTAATTTTTTTTAAATGTTTATTTTGTAGCTTATATTTAAATCTGATTGTAGTTAGCAACAACTCAGTTTCACCTCCAATATAAAATTCTCATTACATAGGTCATAGTTTCACTAGCACCTCCCACCAATTTGTTCTTATTGGTACAAAACGCTGGAGTTATCAGAACACTTGTTACTACACTTGATATGCGCTTCATGTTTGTTTCAGAAGTATATGCAGATCCAAGCTATTCATCATATGAAGCTTTGAGATTTGTCTCTGGTGTTTCCACCACATTTACACCTGGGGTAGGGTAATCCTCCCATTCCTGTATCTATGACTGAAAGCTTGTTTGGGAAGTGTTTGTAAATGGTTTTGTTTATAAATAGATAGAAATGAATGGTGGATAAGTGCGTAGCACTTGTGGGTCTCACAAAATGTGTAGATAAAAATTGGTTTGAGCTTTTTTTAATTGTTTATTAATGATTTATAAACACTTGCCAAACATATTCTAAGATCTTTCCTATGTTTCTGTGTATCCCTGGCCAGACAAGTTCTGCCATTTCTTGAAGATTGCATGTAGGTCTTTCAACTTTCTTCAGGTTTTCTCACTCTTTTTATATTCAAATATTATACCAGGCAGGTCTGAAAATTATACAAGCATACATGGAAGGATACCGACAAGACTGGGAGCTTTCCTTTGAAAAGGACACCAGAACAAGAGGTGGCTGGTGGGTTTATTTCCTAGTCTCTGTGTAGTTTCAGGATGATACTCGCTAGTTGTCTGCTTATTTATTTATTGACTGGAAGGATGTGCATCTCATATTTTAATTCATGTTCTTGAACTACTGATGGATGATGTGGTCTTACAGTGACAATAAAGCAAGCTTATTTCGATAACTTGAGTTTTTAAACGAAGTGACAAATATGCTTCTCCTGCATTCATTCTTTCCCAAAGTTGATGATTTTCAAATCACTTTACTCAAATTTTACTAAAACTGGGAAAGATGAACTTGTTTTACATGAGATAATTTGTAAATTATTCCCTATAAAATGTATGCCTGATGAACACATAGTAATCATCAATGCTACTTAAGCTTGTCCACTGGGACCTAAAGAGAACTGCCCAGTAATTGCTATTATTTTACTAGATAATTCTTTCATTTCTTTCTCGCTGAACGTATAAAGATAAGGTTAACATTTCTTTTCTTTGAAAACCTTCCTGCTTGGACTGTTGGGGTACTATTCGAGCTTATGATTACCAAATGAAAGTGGGTTCAAGACATTATCAATACTTGTTTGATCTAGCATCTTGTTATGTATATAATAATTACTTCGATTTGGTGCAAATCTTGGCTAACTTTGTACATGTTCTCAGGCAGCAAGGTGGAGTCATTGTTGCAGGTCCTGGTAAAAATAATATCTCATATATCCACAAGGTTAGTCTTTATTCTCCCTTAATGTTGGCTTGTATTGCTCAAATATATTAGCCCCCGTTTGGCCCCCATTATTTGATGTTATAATATTTGAAATATTGTTTTTTTGGAGAATATATGGTTGAAAAAGAAGGAATTTTTTTTGATTCATATGTAATATTATTTTATTAGAGAATATGTGATTAAAAAAATAAGTGAAAAAAATGTATTATAAATTAATGGGGGCCAAACGGGGGCTTGATGTTTCATTAAATTAACATAAAAAGATGGGCCTGTTTTGATATAAATTTTGTTAAAATTGGTTTTTCTTAAGAATATATGGTTAAAAAGTATGGAAAAATTATAGCTCCACCTGGAAAATCATTTTATTGAGAGAATGTGTAGTTGAAAATAAGTTTGACGAAAAATATGTTTTATAGAATCTGTAACAAACAAGGCATAAGCCCTTGTTTGGCCTCCATTTTCCCAAAAGCTCTTTTTCTCCTCAAACTCATCTTCAACTACACATTTTCCCAATAATATAATGTTGCACGTAGATCTATAACTTTTCTTTTAAACATACATTGTCCAAAACAAAATCTATTTTTAAAAAATCTCTATCAAACTAAGGCATATAATTTAAAAAGAAAAAATATTCTTGTTCAAACCAGGGACGGATAGAGGGGGGCGGGGCCGGGCTGGGCTCCCACCCACTGATTTTTTTTTAGTTAGAAAAAAATTTATGTAAAAAAAAAATCGTGTGTAAGTTTATTTTTTTTACATATTAACTCGGCCTGTAATCCGGTCCTGGATCGTCCCTGGTTCAAACAATAACTTCCCTTACGAATGGCCATCCGAGCATTCAGTGAGTGGAATCTTTGTAAATCGCTTGTACTATTGGGAAATTGTCTTTATATTTCATCTTACTCTGTGAACTTGTCTACACTACATAGGACAAAGAAGCAGGGGATGATCCAGATATAGAAGATATCTTGAAGGTGTGTTGCTTGCAAGGCAACTGATGATCTATGTATGTCTACTACCCTACGAAGTTTTTGTCATTGTTACTTCTTACCATTTACATAATAAGGAGAGGACAGAGTTTAATATGTTCTTTAATGTATAATGTCTGAATAATTTTCTCTGTTCTCCTTTTGAGTGTTGGTTCTCGTGTAAATCAATAGAAAAGTAACTATAAGTTGTATTGAAGAAGTTAAAACTAAAAAAAGAAAAGGAAGTGTGTAATTCGTTCAGAACCTCAATATGTGCTTCCACTTGCCAATGCAAATGTAGATAATGTTGTAGTGAAAACGATCAAGAATTTGTTGTGAATATCTTTAATCAAGTTCTCGATAAATTGACCAATCTCTATCAAACTAACAGTGTGAGCAAATATTTACAGCACGCTACTTATCATAGTTCTATATTAGTTGGCAGACTCGTCATGTATGCGTTTTGGAATTTCAATTAGAACCAGAGTAACAGAGTAGGATTCCAACTCGAAAATAGAAAATTCCCTACGAGTTCCTTGAAGTTTATTATCCAACAAAGACAAACGCATCTGCATCTATATTCTTCTTATTTTTGAAAATGTTACTTAATGGATTCAAATATAGTAGTAACAGCACAATTAACAGCTAACGACGTTTAGGAAACAAATGCAGAGGAGCTTTCAGGTTGCCAGAAAAAATGGAGTTTTATTCTGCTGTGTAGGTAGAAGAGCGTCGGTTTTTGTACATTATCTATAGAGATTAGTAATGCTTCTCCCAGCAGGGGCGAACGCAGAACTTAAAAGTTATGGGGGCACAATAGAACTTGTAAAGAAGTTGGGAGAAATTTTGCAATCGAAAATTTACGTCCAAAAAAATCATATCCCATGTAATTTTACATTCGAAAATTTACATGGGATATGACTTCTTCGAATGTAAAATTTTAAGTTTTGATGTCATATTACATATAAAATTTCCTTATAAAATGATGAAAATTATATTGAGAAATTTGTATCGCAAAAATAATAAATGTTGATGAAATAATTGATTTTTTTTAAAAAATGCGAGTTAAACGTCTTTTTTTAAGACTCGCGTTTAACGTACTTTTAACTATTTTCGATATCTATTTGAACTATTCGATTTGCCCATAATGTAGTTATCGAAATAAGCTTTGAGATGACATGAGCAATTTGTAGATTCGATTAGCATACGATCGTCGGAAAATTTTTAAAATTAGCATGTTATCGAAATTCAAATTTATTGTGATTTTGCCCATATTTGGTGGAGATTAAAATCAATTTTTTAGTAAATTTTGATAAAATTTAAACAGTTATGGATTCCATGAAATATGTTATTAAAATTAATTGTTAACTTTGATTTAGACTAAAATTTAGATTTCAATCGATACCAAACACGATTTTATAAATAAATAAAATCTGAAAAGTTGGGGGTGGGAGGTGGGGGACTTGCCCCCCCAGGACCCCCTAGTTCTGCCCATGTCTCCCAGTCATTGATAAGGTATGGAACACGCACAAGAATATAGAAGGCGATAACTTCTCTAGTGTCACTTCTAGATCCTGCCTTTCAGGTGAAGACCCAAGGAAGTCGAGTTTGTCCAATTTACTTGTCATTAATGAACAGAGTGTATTGAATGGTTTATGCATGTTCATTGAAAAAGTGAAAATGTTTTTTAAATTGCTTGATTTCATTAAAAAAAAACCACGGTGTAGTAAGTCTTGCATATGGAATGAAAGTTGGATCTAACTTGAAAAATTAGATGCCTGAATGACCACTCAAGCTTCGGTCTTTTCTGAAGCTCATGGAGAGTTTCATCCATCTATTGCCAACACTAAAACAAACATTCGACTCAAGCCACTTTAGACATTTCCTTCAATAAGGTAGTTCTTGCTTAAACTATTGTTATTAGAGTCCCATATTGAATGGTGATATTTACACGATCTACTTAATAAGGTGAGGGCAATCATCTCCTAACAAACCGATTTTGTTAGGTTGAGTTAAGTCTAATATCATTTCTAATATGATATCAGAGCAGACCCAGTTTTGCAATGTTGGGTGCACCCAATATCGATTTATTCACAATTGTTCGGCATGGTCCACGCTGTGCTTGAGGAGTCGTATTAAAGTCCCACATTATCTGGTAATATTTACACGATCCACTTAATAAGGTGAGTGCAATCCTCCCCTAACAAGTCGATTTTATTAGGTTGAGTTAGACTCAATATCCTTTCTAATATAGTATCAGACCAGACCCAATTTTGCAATGTTGGGTGCACCCAATATCGATTTGTTCACAATTTTTTGGCATGATCCAGGCTGTGCGTGAGGGGGCGTATTAAAATCCCACATTAGTTGGTGATATTTACACGATCCACTTAATAAGGTGAAGACAATCCTCCCCTAACAAGTCGATTTTGTTAAATTGAGTTAGATCCAATATCCTTTCTAACAATTATTATTAACAAGGAGTCAAGTTTCCTTGTTGCAATTGAGTGCGCAGTGAAATGGAAACAACATCAATCTAATCTAATGTATCAGTTCTAAGTTACGCCCCTATTTGGTTTGGCAAAAAAATTGATTTTTAATAGATTTTAATAGAAGTTAATGAAACATATGTTTGAAAAGTTGGTAAAAGTTATAATCCCATGAAAAATTTATGATCGAAAATGAGTTAGCGAAAAATGAATGGGTGCACATTTCACGTCAGAAATGATGTTAACACTTGGGCAGGCTTGCGCTAAGCTCATCTCTCCACAACATAGATTGACTAAGCTTCTCCCTCGAGATAACATGGCGAATAAAAAATAACTAAATTTCAAGGGGAAAAAAATCCCAATATTATAGTAAATTCAACTACCTCAATAACCCATCAATTGCTAGAACTTAATTTTTTCCATAATTTTTCCTTCATTTCTCCATATAACCAATAAATTTCAGCTCATATCATTGAAAAATCTCAAAAGCCCACATGCCAATGCAAATGTAGATAAAAATATTAGTTAGTTCCCAACAAAAACAACTTGTCATGTCCGTAAAAGGTAAAAGATTTATAGAGTTTCAATGGATTCTTTAACACGACCACGATTTCTAATGGTATCTTTTGAAGATGATGTATTTTAAGCGTTTTTATGAAGAACATTTTATGTCACGTTTTGTGCAACCACATAATAAAAGTAAATCTTCATTTTGCAAAGTATTACTTCCATAAATGTTATCGATAATTTATTAGAATTGTCAATTTTTGTATATTTTATTCTTTATTCAATGTTAAATTCATATTCACTAACCCACGTGATTTGTTATACAAATGTTTCTTCTTAATTGTCTCTGCAATTTGAGTTTAATTCCCATTATTTTCAAAATATATTTTTTCTCTTCTTTTCAATCACACATTTTTCAATAAAATTTTGTCCTTATTTTTCAACAACACATTCTTCATCAATATATTATTTTCAAAATGCATTATTAAGAAATAATGGGGCTCAAACGTGCTCATGAAAAATACATTCGGAAGTCAGAATGTTGAAAAATAAAATATATTTAGTTAATCATTTATTATAGAAAATCAATAATTTAAGTCAATCTTATTTTATTTTAATCAAATAGAAACCAATATATCTTAATGTTAATCAATAATAAGTTATCTCAAAATTATGTAAAGAAAATAAAATTGTAATTAATTTCTATTATGGAAAAATACGTATTTATCATAGTTTTAAGATACACTTTCAAATTTAAGAAACCCACCAGAAAAAATTCCGAATGAATGAGAAATTGTGGTTTAAAGTGCAAGAAAAATGAAGAGAAAAAGGCCAAATCAGCTAACACCGCCGCTCGAGTCTTAGACTAGTGTCAGGTGAGCGACGAAACTGTCGCTCGAGCGATAAGCCAGCGCCAAGCAAGCGATAGATAGGATTGCGACCCTTCATGATGGTTGCTGAGTTTTGGAGAGTATCTCTTCGCTCGTAACCTCTCATCTTCTACATAGGACCCCTTGGACGATCATTATGCATCATATATCACTGGCATTGAGTCTCGCATAAAAAAAACTCTAGCAAAAACTTTCCAAAATTATTTTCTTGTAGAGATAAGAAAATCGATTGAGTTCGCTATTGATTGTAATTTGAAGTGTTTCTACCACAAATTGTATACATTGTATTTTGGGGGATAAGTGCCGTAATTTGCTAATATAATAAAATTAACCCACCCCACTTCACCTCCCTTTCTGGCGACTACTCCTGTGACCCGCGAGAACTCCGACGACTGTTCTCCGGTCAAAGATCAAAAATTTTTAAGGTCACAGATTATTTCGAGGTCACAGATCTAAAATTTTTACGTCACAATATTTTTATCGGTCACAGATCAAAAATTTTGTAGGTTACAAAATATTTCGAGGTCACAGATAGACCAAATAGATGGTCACTGATCACAGATCGACCAAATAGATGGTCACTGACACTTCGACCCATCCGCCGCACCCGTCCTCCAATCTCAATACACCAACAATACTTTGTCACAGGTCACATAACGACCAAATAGTTGGTCTTATATACTTCGTCACATTCGCCGCCGACCCTAATCCCTAAAACACCCACCAACAATAACACCACCATCGCCACTTGAACAGCACCACCATCGTCACCCCATCACAACACCACCACAACCACCACCATAATAATAACAAAAAACAACCGTCCCATCGCCGCCCGCACCACCACACAGCTTCCCATAGCCACACACACAGCAAATCCACCCACAGCCACATAGAAAATCGATTGAGTTCGCTATTGCTTGTAATTTGAAGTGTTTCTACCACAAATTGTATACATTGTATTTTGGGGGATAAGTGCCGTAATTTGCTAATATAATATAATTAACCCACCCCACCTCACCTCCCCTTCTGGCGACTACTCCTGTGACCCGCGAGAACTCCGACGACTGTTCTCTGGTCAAAGATCAAAAATTTTGTAGATCACAGATTATTTCGAGGTCACAGATCTAAAAATTTTATGTCACAATTTTTTTATCGGTCACAAATCAAAAATTTTGTAGGTTACAAAATATTTCGAGGTCACAGATAGACCAAATAGATGGTCACTGATCACAGATCACAAGTCACAGATCGACCAAATAGATGGTCACTAACACTTCAACCCATCCGCCGCACCCGTCCTCCAATCTCAATACACCAACAATACTGTCACAGGTCACATAACGACCAAATAGTTGGTCATATATACTTTGTCACATTCGCCGCCGACCATAATCCCTAAAACACCCACCAACAATAACACCACCATCGCCACCTGAACAGCACCACCATCGTCACACCATCACAACACCACCACAACCACCGCCATAATAATAACAAAAAACAACCGTCCCATCGCCGCCCGCACCACCACACAGCTTCCCACAGCCACACCCACAGCAAATCCACCCACAGCCACACCCACAGCAAATCCACACAGCACCATCGACACCACCTCCACCCCGTCGCAACTACCAGATCCACGCCCACCCTATCACCGCCGACAACACAGCAGCGTACTTTACCCAACAACACAGCTGCTGTGCCCAACAAAAAAACCCTATCACCGTCGACAACATAGCTGCTGTACCCAACAAAAAAACCTCAACCCCCCCCACAACCACAGCAATGTCCACGCCGACGCAGCATCACAGTAGCGTCGACACTGCTCTGAGCAGCGTCGAAGCCGACGCCGAGCATCGACGCTGTAATTCACAGCAGCGTTCACAGAAGTGTCGAACACTGCTGTGAATCAGTAGGGATGAGAAGCTCCGGCAGGGAGGAGGAGGAGGTAGGGAGGGAGGAGGAGGAGAGAGAGAATCGATGGAGAGAGAGAGAGAGAAAAACTATCGTGTGTGGGAGATGAATTGATAAATTAGGGTTTTAAATGAATAATTATTTAATTAAAATGATAAAAAAAATTTGAAAAAAGATAAAAAAACTTGATTAAAAAAAAAAAAAACATGAAAACCTAATTTTTTAAAAGAATAATGCTAGGTGTACAAATGGATTTTCTTTCACATTTTAAAAAGGAAAAATCCATTTGTATAATCATATTTACAATCTTTTAATGATTGTACAAATGGATTTTTCCTTTTTAAAATGTGAAAGGAAATATATGTGAAAAGAAATGTCTGATTTTACGTAATTATCACTTTTCCTACACGCCAATTAAGCCCAATCCATACCATAAGCCCGTTTTCGAAATGCCTGAAAGAACCTAGGCAGCGGCGCTCTACAAAATAGTCATTTCACAGTAACTATATAGCATTACACAAACCATATTTGTCACTCTCAACCCATCAAACCGTATCGCCCCCTCCCCCCAGCAAATTGCAAAACCTTTGCTGCTCTGCGATGGCTGCCGCTGCCGCCCGTCCTCTAGTCACTGTCCAATCCCTGGAAAATGACATGGCCACCGATGGAGGCTCCGCCAACTCCATACCACTTCCCGACGTGATGAAGGCGGCGATCCGCCCTGACCAGGTGACATTCGTGCACGGCCAAATTTCCAAGAATGCTCGCCAGCCTTACGCCGTGTCCAAGAAGGCTGGACACCAGACCTCCGCCGAGTCATGGGGAACCGGACGCGCTGTGTCCCGTATCCCCAGGGTGCCTGGCGGCGGGACCCACCGCGCTGGACAGGGTGCTTTTGGCAACATGTGTCGTGGTGGTCGTATGTTCGCCCCCACCAAGATCTGGCGCCGCTGGCACAGAGCCGTGAACGTCACACAAAAGCGCCACGCAGTTGTTTCTGCTATTGCGGCGTCTGCTGTTCCATCCCTT